GAGGCGGTGGCAGGTGATGCTGCGGGAAGCAGAGGGGGAGGCTGCCTGCAGTCTGTTTGCTCAGAGCGCCCCCTGCTGGGCATCACCTTTTATTTTATTTTACTTTATTTTATTTTATTTAATCTAATAACTTTAATCTCAGCCAAACACGGAAAAAAGCCAAACAATTACATTTTTGAGTTATCCGAGTGACTTATATATCATGTTTAACCTGAGTAGCGAAAGAGCGGGGGTCTGAAAACGATGAAGCCGGGAGTCCGCTGCTCTCGCCGGCTCGAGTGATCATTGAACCCCCCGGCTTGATATTGAGCTGGTGGGTAACAGACATCTCCGAAAATGTCGAAGCACTTTTGCAAATATGCGATATCTTGATAAACCGAGCAGATATTTGATGTTTACACAGCTACTTTCTCGCCTGAAAATATAAATATAAACTTAAACGTTTATTTTGTGACCCAGAAAGAGTAATGAGAGTAATATTAAAACTTAGTAGCGGCCGCCATTGTTGGCAGCTGAAATTTGGCTGGGCCGCGCTATGAATTCTGGGATATGGTGGGCCACGAAGGACACACCCGACCCATCCTTCAAATTCGGGGAAATGAAGGACGCATTTGAAGGAGTTGACGAATTGGGACAGCCTTCGCCGCCTGGCTGTGACGTAATCGGCCTTCAAATGCGGCCTCCGGAGGATGCAGCGACGTTTGGGACACAGCTATCGTTCCTAAAAGCTGTGACGTCACAGCAGCTCATCAATGCGTACAGATCATTTTTACACTACACTGATGGTTTATGATGTGATTTTATGCATTTATGTCTGATGGTGTGTTTCTTGTTTGGCACGTTTACACTTATGTGTCCTTTTTAAATCATAAACTATAAATATAAAACATTTAAACTTTTCTATCTGTAAGTCTCGTTTATGCAGCCACAGATGACACAGTGGCAGTCCTAGAGCCTGGGGGGTCCTGGGTACATACTCAAAAGGGGCCCCTCCACTGGGAGTTCATAACAATGAAGTTACAAATAATAAAATTGATAAATAAAATAGATTTAAGAGATTTTTTGTTGTTGACTGAGCTGAAATGATAAACAAAAGGCAGACATCGTGTAGCAGGGATCTTAAAGCTCCGCCCACAGTGGAGGCGATCTGCTTGTCACACATCGTTTTGAAGCCAACAGCTGGTCTAACCCTCTAACATATTTACAACCAGGTCATGGTAGTCACATGACCCTTTGACCTTTTTTATGTGAGCACGCTCAGAGCCTGAAGCAGCAGCTGGAACCGGGACGAGGATCAGGACTGGGACCAGTTACATCCAGCTACTGCAGCTGTGTCAGAATAAATAAAGTTTGGAGCTCTTTCCACACAGACTCCAAACATGTGAAAAGGCTGAAAATTATTAACTCATAAAAACTTTTTTTCACAGAAAATAAAACTTTCAACTCTAAAATCTTCATTCTGTCATTTTAAAGATGGCCAAGTTTCCTCAAAAAGGAATATCTTTATTTTTGAACTGGTTTTAGAGGAAAACATCCATCCATGCATCCTCTTCCGCATCAGCAAGAGGCAGGGTACACCCTGGACAGGTCGCCAGGCTAACACATAGAAACAGAAAACCATTCGCACCTATGGGCAATTTAGAGTTACCAGTTAACCTGCCCCCACTTAACTGCATCTGTTTGGACTGTGGGAGAGAACCCACGCAACCACGGGGAGAACATGCAAACTCCACACAGAAAGACCCCGGCCATGGTGAACTCAGGACCTTCTTCTGTGAAACACCAAAAAGGACACAAGATCAAAACTCAGCTTTTCAGATTCAGGACATTTGGAGCAGAATCATCACTCTCATCAGCAGCAGCATCATCATCATCATCACTATCATCATCATCATCACTATCATCATCATCATCACTATCATCATCACTCTCATCAACATCATCATCATCATCATCATCATCACTCTCATCATCATCATCATCATCATCATCATCATCACTCATCATCACTCTCATCAACATCATCATCATCATCATCATCATCACTCTCATCAACATCATCATCATCATCATCATCATCACTCACTCTCATCATCATCATCATCATCATCATCATCATCATCACTCTCATCATCATCATCACTCTCATCATCATCACTCTCATCAGCAGCAGCAGCATCATCATCATCATCATCATCATCATCATCATCATCATCTCCCTTCTTCCTGTTAAAAGGGGGTTTTTCTTTCCCACTGTCACCAAAGTGCTAGCTTAATCATTAGCATTATTGCTGATGATGTTTCATATGGAGTTTAAGAAAGTCATTTTGAGACATCCACATTTTCCAATATTATTCAAACATTTCATTCTCAGCACTTGAAGAAAAGTCTTTATTTTATTATTTATTATTTATTTAATTCTTCTAAAATGAAACTGTGGAGCTGCAAACAGGTTTTCTCCCTCGGGCCGTCTCAGGGCGTTTGTACGGTGTCTCCCTCCAGGTGAGCATCCCCTGCAGGCCAAGCCTTCCCTCAGCAGTCGCTCTACCTGGGGCATGGTGGGAGCTCGCAGACCGCCTCCCGCCTCTGAAGCTGCAGCTGTCTGCATCTCTGCTGGAAGCGGCGCCTCCTGCAGGTGAGCAAGGAAGAGCGCTGTCAACACCTCAGTGGGAGGAGCGTCCTTTAAGCTGAAGCTGAGCTCAGGATGAAGGAGAGACTTTACAGAGTGTTGGAGCTATCTGTTCTTTATTTTTTATTATTTTGAAATTAGTTAAAGTTTGTTGTTAGTTTACTTATATTTTGGGGTTTATTTACAAGTTTATTTGTAGGTTAATATTTGTTTCAATGTTTTATTTGTTTGATTTTACCTTGTTAAATCAGTCAATAAGTGTCATGGTCCTGGGCCATGTTGGCCCAGTATTCTTAGTTTCATGTATTTTTGTATTTTGCTCCTTATTTAGGCCATGTTTCCTGGGCTGCCCTGTTACGTTGTTCCCTAAGTGTTTTCCCCTTGTGACTCTTACCCCTTGTGTGCCCCTCTGTGTATTTGTGAGCCCTCGTCTCTCCTTGTGTTTTATTCCATGTTTTCCCCAGCCCGTTATATCTGTGTTTTCCCCGTGCTCTCTCCTCCTGTCTGAACCTCTGTACTTCCTGTTTTACTTTGCCCGTCTCCCGTCAGTGTTGCGTTCACTTCTGCCGTGTCTTGTTATGATTATCAGTGTCAGCTGTGTTCCCCGTGTGCTCCCACTTCCCTCGCTAACCTTCTGTGTATTTATGTCTGCGTCTCCCTCAGTTCTGTGTCGCGTTCTCCCTCATCCATGGCCGTGTGTTTTTCCGTGTAACATGTTATACTTTCCAGTTTAGTTTGTATGGTTTTTCCGTCCAGCAATAAAGCTGTGAAGTTTGAGTTAATTCCTGCCTCCGTGAGTTTGCGATTGGGTCCTCATCCAGCCTGCACACAGCCGCAACCATGACAATAAGAGCTGTAGGGCCATTTTGTTTCTATAAATAGAGAGACTGGTATAGGACCAGCATGCACTGGGGTGGGCCTGTGGTTTTTTACCAGAGCAGGAGAAGCAGCAGGAAGTAACAAAAAATGGATCTTGTTATTGCCAAACTGGATGAATAAACCATAAAAACGCAACTTTAAAGTTTGGACAGTGGACTTCTTTCGCCTGCGTACGAAATAGTATCTCAGTGCAGCAGTGGCTTGTGGACTTTTAATTGTGGGATGTTTGGTTTGTCAAACAAAAGGAATTGCCACTACACAGAGCTTTCTTCATGATGATGCATAACAAAAATAAAATTACTTGAATTGATTAATATGATGATTATTTTAATGAGGTAGTCAGTTGATGAGTGAAACTTTATTAGAAAATCATTAAACGGCCTCCTTGTGTCACATTTTATACCACAGCATATGAAACATATCTAACAGTATGATCAGCAGAAATGCAAAGAGATAGAAAATTCTTAAAAGGCCCTGCAGGTGGCGCTGTGTGTGGTTGGCTTGTGTCCATCCTGTGAAAGCTGAGGTCTTTCCGGAGGTGGGCAGCTGTGTGTTAAAGGAGTTTGGTCACTGACCTTGACGACCTGCTGTCCCGCTGCTGTCCAGCAGGGGGCGAGTCCTCTGAAGATTGACTGGATAATGAGTCTCCTGCTCAGCTTGACCTCTGACCTCAGTGATGAGATTCTGGTCTCAGTCACTGGTTTCAAGTCTGATTCAGGCAAGATGGGAACGAGAAAGTCAGAGGAATGTTTGGGTAGCACCTTTAAATAATTTTCTCACCTTAAAAACACAAATCAGTTCATTCAGGAACCAACAGCACACTGCAGCCTGATGTATAGAGATGAACTTTAAAGGACAGTTGGAAAAATTACAGTTCTGAAGATCCACAGAAATAAGGCGATAAACTTGCCAGCGTTAGCGTACTACAGACCTTAAAAACCAAACAACACTCAAATAGGCGACAAAAGACCAAGAAAACAACGTAAAAACACAAGAAAATCACTTCCTGTTACTTTAAAGAAGGAAGAGTTATCAAAGACTGTACAAGATGCACACATATGTGAAAGGATCTGAAGGAGACTTCAGAATTCTTAACACGTGACAACATGTGACTAGGATGGCGTGTTACAACAGAAGAAGGAACCTCCGTCTGTGCGGCCGGCTGAACAGGAAGGAGACGAGGTTAAACAACGAGTGACAGAGACCTGCAAGGCCGTCGCTCCAGACAGGATGCATGTTTCTACATCGATGTGAGCCGCTGAGCTGGACGGAGAGAATGCAACAATAATCGACAAAGATTAATCTCAGGATGGAGTTTATATCAGCACTGCAAGCTTTCAGTAGCTTTAAAAAACGGTGGTAAGATCATTATAATGAGTCTGAGTTTCTGACACATTCCTAAAGTGATGACTTCAGTCTCTAAGTGAGTTTATTGTTCTATTATTCTGTCTTTAACACTTTATTGAAAGGAGCCGCTGCAAGAAGAAGACGAAACATTTACAACTTTACAATAATTAACACTTGATTGCATCGCAGAAAATCCAGCATGAGGTGAAGAAATGTGTGCGTGAGTTCTGCGTGTTCAAATTAACGGTAAATTAACTTTATGATAATAACATTTTGTTGAGGACCGTGAGACAAATGCACGAGTCACATTTTAAGTTCATTAAGACCTTTATTAGTGATGATATTTAAAGGTGTAGAGTCATCTCCAGATTCTAAACAAAACTACAATCAATTTATAGAATCTGAGATTTAATTCAACACATAAACAAAGTGCAATAACTCTGACTAACATCTTTATTTTTATGACTCGTTTGGGTTCCTATCTGCTGTTTAGTGAATGATCTCTGTCATCTGCACTGATTTCCACACACCCACAGTCAGGCAGTGTGGGTCAGGCCTCAGGTGATTATTAAAGAATCTGAAGGGTTGGTGTGTACAGTGCTACAGCACAGCCAGGATGTACTCAGGGTCTAATCTGCTGCCCACAGTCACAGTTTTGTGGTAACTGCAGCATTAATCTATCAAACTCTCCTGAGATATAATGACTGCTTTCCTTTCACACACTAATGTCGTGGTTGAGCAGCTTTATTTGGGTTGTTCTGACAGCTGAGTCTTTGTCCCGTTTCATCCTTCGCTTTCACTGCACTGTGAGGACCTGTGCAGCAGTTTAATGAGAGCCGAACGATGAGCGCTCATTTAAACGTTTGCACAGGTTTGTGTTTCCCGCCTTTTACCGATCACAGATTTTACAAAAGTTATAATTTAATGTTTTTCAGATGGACTTCCGGGCGAGCGGAGCGCCACACCAGCGAAAAACACAAAACAACCGGAAGCAGCACCAGTGTGATTGACAGGTGGGCTCACCCACTCACACTCAGCTACGCACCCTTAGTGGGCGGGGCCCCGCTACGTTATTTGTGCTATTCGCTAAAGCACGTACGCTGAGACGTGACGTTTGACGCTGTGGCTGGCAGCCGCGCATGCGTGCGTATCTGTCAGTCAAAGGACTTTTAAATGGCCTCGTAGGCCGGGAGCCCCGGTGCTCGGTAATAACGGCGTTATTCAGGACATCAGCCCCGTGAATAGCGTGTCCGCGCGCCGCGGGAGGCCCCCTGTGCCCGGCGGGGTCGACACTGTCCGGTCAGTGCGGTGAAAATGAGCGACGAGGACGAAACCGCGCAGAGAGCGCGCCGCGGGTTCGAGGAGCTCTGCAGGGCGCTGAACATGGACGAGGAGGCGAGCGGGGAGGCGTGGGGGAGCTACGAGAACATCAGCAGGAACTTCACCCTGGAGGTAAGCACGCTCATCTGGACAGGTGGCTCTGTGACGTGTTTCTGACGGGTCTCGGCGTCCAGGGGCAGGGGCGTGTCCCCAGGGGGCGGGCGGATGCCTCTTTAACTGTAGCGCTGTCGTTCTTCTACAGCAACAAATATCTGAATACTTTTACTCGAGTACTTCGGTGCCCTGCAGGGTGTTTCCTCCTCCATCAGGTGAAGGTGGTGTTTATGTTGCTCCGCCCAGCAGTCCGAGGTATTAAACACAGTAATAATAAAGAACTGTGCTACACTAATATCAGCATAACGAGTACTTTAAGTACTGTGAGTACTTGGATCTGAGCAGTATGGCGGTTTATTTTACTTCATGATTGCTCTAAGTACACTGAGTGTGACCATTAAATACCCAGGAACGCCTGAGGGGCGGGGTTTGTCGTCACAGGCTGAGGGGCGGGGTACACCTGAAGTTATTTATAGGTGTTTTTAGTCACAGGAGTCAAACCTTATTTTGTATTCTTACATTAGATCTGCTTAGGATGGGTTCAAACTCAGGTTCAGGTTCCTGAGTAGTTTTAGAAAAGCTCAGGTCCAGATCATGGAGGTCAGCCTCGGCACAGAGCGACGTCACAGCCTGAGCTCTCTGCTCAGGGAGCAAGTGTTCACTACCGAAGGAAACGAGAGGGAAGGAGATGAGAGTGCTGTCCGTCCCTCGATGCGCCCTTCGTCCTTTTAAATAAAAATTATATTTATTCATTAACGTCTGCAAAGCTTCCTGTCATCTTGTTTCCTGTCGCAGGGCAGCGAGCTGCACTGGTTGGCGTGCGCCCTCTACGTGGCCTGCAGGTCGTCTGTGCCCACGGTAGGAAAAGGCACGGCCGAGGGGAACTACGTCTCTCTGACCCGAATCCTGCGCTGCTCCGAGATGAGGTCGGTGTGCCCCTCTCCACCTTCACACCCACAGAAACACAATCACTGATGACATAACGACACACGGCCAGGCAGGTAACCCAGGTGAAGAGAATCAGGGCGGGGCCAGCAGGCACAGTAACAGAGGCAGACCTTCAAAATAAAACAGGAAATAGACAAAAGACTATGAACGCGAGGGAACGCGAGAACCACTCAGACACACAAACAGCTGGAAACGAGCAGGAAAACTAAATATATCAGCTACAAAATATTTAAAATGATGAATAAATAAAAATAGAATAAAATGGGATGTGCGCTCTGTGAAGGGTTTAGAGGCGACCACAAGGTTTTTATTACGTCATCTTCGTGGCTCGGCTCGCTCCTCATGTCCCCGCCCTCTGCTCCTCCTCAGCCTCATCGAGTTCTTCAGTAAGATGAAGAAGTGGCAGGACATGGCTGACCTGCCGCCGGACTTCCGTCAGAGCACCGACAAGCTGGAGAGGAACTTCATCGTGTCCGCCGTCATCTTCAAGAAGTACGTCCCCATCTTCAAATCCATCTTCAGGGCGCCGTCAGAGGAGCCGCCGCGAGTGCACCGCAGCCGCAAGCAGAGGTGGGACCGTAACCTCTGACCTCACCTTCATGCTAACCGCTCAGTATTCAGTTCTTTGGTGTTTGTTGGTGTGGTCGCCAGGCGGGGGCGGGTCTGCAGTGCTGCCTGGTAACCTATGTGCGCTCTTTGTTTTGCAGACGCCACCCGTGCACCGTGACCGAGGTCTTCAACTTCTGCTGGGTGCTGTTTGTCCACGCCAAAGGTAAGCACTTCCTGTTTAATGATGTCAGAGAAGTCCGTCACAGCGCCCTGGTGCAAACCACAGCTCGTCACAGACAGGTGGAGGTTTTTCCTCCCCACTGTCGCTCACGTGTGTGGTGTTTCTCTGCGTTATTGTTGGGAGCTGCAGAAATGGGATAATAAATAATCAGAACTGTGAAGCTTCAATCTCGTCCCAGCAGCCACTCAGCTGGAACGCCAGGTCTCGGCGTGCGGCTCACTTCCTGCTCTCGGCTCTGGTTCTGCTCATGCACGCTGATGAGTCCGGTTTGCACCTCGATGATGTTTCTGCTTCTTCTTTCAGGGAACTTCCCCATGATCAGCGACGACCTGGTGAACTCGTACCACCTGCTGCTGTGCGCCCTCGACCTCGTCTTCACCAACGCCCTGCTGTGCAACGCCAGGAAGGACCTGCTGAACCCCGAGTTCAAAGGTGGCGTCCTGAGGCTGACGTACACATCGTTCCTGCCTCTGTTAACGTGCTGTTCGCGCTCGGTTTAGTTTGGTTGCTGTAGTAACGTCTCCAGTTCTTTGAATAAATCATGTCGGCTGCAGAGGAAGCCTGCTTATCGCTCACCTGCAGCATTGGGTCACACCTCAAATAAATCAAAGGTGGAGCCGGCAGCAGGCTCTGTCAGCGCTGCCCTTACTTCCTGTCGGGTTTCCTGTGCGCCCCCGTGAGGCCCCGAAACACCACGTGATCCCGTCAGGCACAACCCTGGAGCCGAGCGAGGTCAGACTCGGGGAGCTCGCCTGCTTCATTGAACACTCCGCCCACGAGCAGCGTTTCGGCATGAAACTAACATTTAAAGAAAGGTGCACGTTTAGAGGCGGGAGGGCGCGGTTCAGCCCGCTCAGGTGACACGAGACGCTCCTGAAGGTTTGGGTTAAATACCTGCCTGTTAAACAAGAAGAAGGTCGTGCTGGCTGAACCAACAGACCAGCGATCAGGATTTCATTATCCTGGGATTGAATCAGCTGCAGTAGAACCAGGATTAGAGCTGAACAATATCATCAGCGCGACTGAGGAGGTGGAGCCTCCTGGGGCCGCTGTGGGGTTAACACACGAGGAATGAAAGTTTAAATGATGTTATCGTTAAAAATAACACAATTTGTGTGTTGTCATGTCTCCATGGTAACGCTGTCTCTCCGTCCCACAGGGCTTCCTGAGGACTTCGGCACCAAGGACTTCCGGCCGGCCTCGGGCCCGTTCTGCTTCATGGAGCAGCTGTGCCAGTTGCACGACGGCCTGGTGCTGGAGGCCAAAGGGGTCAAAGAGCACTTCTGGAAACCCTTCATCAAGAAGCTCTTCCACAAGAGGGTGAGCCACCTCCTCCCACACCTTCACTCAGGTGAACACACCTGAGCGGGTGCCGGGCCTCGAGAGCCTCGGCGAGGTTTCCTCTGTTGGTTTGGAGCCACTCCACGGGGTAAAAGCAGAATGACGGGCGTGTGTTTCACACGCGGCGTTAGTGAGGGTGTTGGAAAAGTGCATGTTAGTGATCTGGGTTAAAGCAGAGGGGTCAAACATAAGGCCCGGGGGCCAGAATCAGCCCAGCAAAGACTATGGTCCGGCCCACAGCACAGTCGGAGCAGCTTGGGACTGAGAACTGAGACTGAGTGTGAGCCCCGGTGTTGAACACGTCAGGGATGCAGAGTGCAGTAAAGCGAGCGCGTCTTTAACATGTTGGCTTTTTGTCTGCTCTGCAGAGCTCTGCTGATAAATAATAATCACATCAAACATCAGAAATCATTTAAAGTTTTATACGATTAAATGTAAATGAATAATAATATTGGTTGGTTTGGTCACATAGAGCAGCTTCGTACCTGCACAGGTAGGAACCGTGTTGGCGCTACACTCAGCTTCCTCTCGTGTCCGTTGGCAGATTCTCCGAGGAAAGGAGGACAGTCTGACCGGCTTCCTGGACCCCATGAACTTTGGAGACAGTCTGTAAGTTTGAAGGCCGTTCTGTGTTGGTTAATTGGAGCTGTTTACCTGTAGCAGGGGGTAAACTAAAGACCCACGTGTTTCTGACTCCGCCCCCTGGTGACGGGTCATGGTAACAGCACGTAGACGCCGCTGACCACCCTCTGCTCTGATTCGCCCTCAGTTTGGCGCTCAGCCGCCTGTACGAGGAGCACGTTTTGGCCACAGGCAGCTTGGACGAGAGGATCTTCACCGGCGAGGGAGCGAGCGAGGACATTGGCACCCCGGGGCCCTGCCTGTGCGAGGGGGCGGAGCACCAGAACAGCGCCACCTTCAGGCTCCACACCAGCCTCGCTGTAAGACCTGACCTTGCCTCTTTTACGCTCTCTGATTGGTTTGCTTCCCACCTCGCTAACATGCCACCTCCCCCCCAGGCCTCGGCTCTGAAAGTCTCCACCCCACTGACGGGCAGGAAGTACGTGCAGGAGGGCAGCCTGGCGTCTCCGCTCTCCTCCGCCATGAAGAGCGTGGGGCGTCTCCACACGCTGCTGTCGGGCACCAAGCAGGGGCCGAGCGCCAAGCTGGCCGAGACGCTCAGGTACGTGTCAGCGTGTCTGACGTCGTCTTTAACTCTGACCCTTTCAACACGCCTGCTCTCGTTTCGCCCAGGAGCTGCGCCAGAGACCCGAGCAACGCCATCAGCCGGCGCCTGAACGACATGTTCGACGTCTTCTCCCAGCACTACGAGGACGGCGCCACAGACGGGGGCAGGGCCATGGGCAAAGGTATGCACGTAGCCTCGCATCACTGCACACGAGCGACCTGCTGTGACCGAGTAACGTTTGTCCTCGCAGACATGGCGGTGAAGTACTTCCACCTGGCAGAGGCGCTCTACTACAGGATCCTGGAGTCAGTCATCGAGAGAGAGAAGATGATTCTGGGCGACGCCGACCTGTCTGTGAGGGAAAACACTTATTTCCATTTTCAGAGCAACTTTGCATGAGTCACAGATCAGAATAATCCTTCTTTATGTCAGCCTCCATCACTGCTTCATCTGCTTCCTGTTTGAATGTTTTTCTCAGATTATCTCACATGCAGCCGTGTACTGATAAAGTCATCTTATAAAGTGTGTGTGTGTGTGTGTGTGTGTGTGTGTGTGTGTGTGTTGCAGTGTATTCTGGAGCAGGATATCTTCCACCGCTCTCTGCTCGCCTGCTGCTTGGAGATCGTCATCTTCTCCTACAGACCTCCTGGAGATTTCCCCAACGTGCTCGGCATCTTCCAGCTGCCTGCCTATCACTTCTACAAGGTATCAATACGCCCTCATCAAAAAGTAGGTCCTAACAAGGTTTGTTTTTCAGAAAACGCCAGATGATTGGATGGATGATGGATGATGTTTGGATGGATGATGGATGAACAGTTGGATGAAGAAAGCTTGTCGTCTGTCTCTGCAGGTGATTGAGGTGCTGGTGCGGGCGGAGCAGGGTCTGTTTCGGGAGGTGGTGAAGCACCTGAACCAGGTGGAGGAGCAGGTCCTGGAGAGTCTGGCCTGGACTGGCGATTCCCCGCTGTGGGAGAGCCTCCGTGGGGCCAAAGACCACGCCCCCAGCTGCCAGGAGGTCCGTCCATGTTTGATGATATACGTGTCGGTGTTTCCTTCTTTGTGCTTTTTTGTTCGTGTGTCCTGAGGTCAAATGTAACTGCAGACCTTCATGTTTGGTGGTTTCTGACTCTGGGTGAATAACACCTGCAGGAGGCCTCGCTGTGGTCAGCTGATTCCGGTCCTGTTGATCCGTAAAAACGTCCCGCCTGCTGCGTGAAAGTCTCGTCCTCGCTTCTCCTCTTCTTGTTTGGCTGAACAAAGTTTCAGGTGTGTTTCATCAGCAGGTGTGTGTGTTTCAGGTGATGCCTCCTCAGTACCTGGAGCAGCAGGATGAGAGCAGCTCCGGCAGCGTTCCCGTCACTCCGGTCAGCCACGGCGCCGAGCTCAGCAGCAGCAGCACGCTCAAAGGTCACACACCTGATACCTGTCACACCTGCACACTGTGTGTGTGTGTGTGTGACTTCTGATGCGGCTAAAGGACTCTTGGAGCTCATTGGCCCTCCTCTTCCTCCTACAGGTGTGTCCCCCTCCCCAACCACCCTGTTGGACCGTTACAGCTCACCGCCGGCCAGCACGGCTCGCCGCCGTCTCTTTGTTGACCCCGTGGACAGCGAGCCCGGCCTCGCCTCCAGTGGCTCCGCCAGCACTGCTGTCGCCAAGCCCACCCAGGCGAGCCTCGTCACGGCCATCCCGGCGGGACAGACTGTGGTCACTATGGCAACTGCCACCGTGACCGCCAACAACGGGCAGACAGTGACCATCCCTGTGCAGGGTGAGGGTCAGAAAACACGAGCCCGAAGGTGAAGGTGAGAAACGGCACCCTCTGACCTTTGACCTCTCTGCAGGGATAGCCAATGAGAGTGGAGGGATTACCTTCATCCCGGTGCAGGTGAGCGTGACAGGACAGGCTGGTGCCGCTCTGCAGCCGCTGCCCCCGCAGGCGCTCGCCGGCACCATCGCCGTGCAACCAGCCACTGTCAAGCCGGCCCCTAAACCAGCCGGCGGCGCGCTGAGGAAGGGCTCGCTGTCACTGTTCTTCAGGAAGGTACGTGCTCGTGCACATGCTCAGTGCGGCTCTGCTTCCGCTGTGTAGGTGTGATTCGTTTACCTGCAGCGTTTCCTCCCAGGTGTACCACCTCGCCAGCGTCCGCCTCCGAGACCTGTGCGCCCGACTGGACATCATGCCGGAGCTCCGGAGGAAGATCTGGACCTGCTTCGAGTACTCGCTGGTCCACTGCACGGACATGATGATGGACCGACACCTGGACCAGCTCCTCATGTGTGCCGTCTACGTCATGGCCAAGGTCAGTCAGGTTCTTCATCGTCGTGACAACGAGCTCAGAGATGTTCTGAGACTCACAAAGAAGAAGAGCAGGTTCAGTTCAGAAAGGCCAGAGGTATCCCACCTTCACCTGCAGGAGCTTTGAAGGGTTAACTCTCTGCCTCCAGCTTTACTGTCACTCAACTCTTGACTCTCTGGTAACAGGAAGCTGAGCACGCTTGTTTTCAGCTTTTCTGCTCGTCTTTGACTTGGTGCTGCAGGAGGAACGTCTCTGTGAGCTCTGTGCTCCAGTAACATGTGACCTGTTTGCTTCTGTCAGGTGACCAAAGAGGACAGATCCTTCCAGAACATCATGAAGTGTTACCGCTCTCAGCCTCAGGCCAGCAGCAATGTAAGGAACTCTTCCTCCCTCCAGCTTGCTGTGTGAGGAAAAACGAGGGGTGACGAGCTGCTGCTGATGTTCTCCAATGTTCTGTGTTCGTGTTTCAGGTCTACAGGAGCGTGCTGATCTCAGGGAGGAGGCGTCACTCCAGCACCAACAAACCGAACCCGCTCACAGACGGCAGCCAGGACGCAGGTACAGACACATGACCTCATCCTGAGGTTGACCTCCCTGAGCATGCTCAGTCGGTTCAAACGTGTGGAAACATCAACTCCGTTAGCAGTGTGTGTTAGCGTGTGTGTTATTCTGTGTGTTAGCTGTGAGTGTTAGCGTGTGTGTTATTATGTGTGTTAGCTGTGAGTGTTAGCGATGTGTGTTAGCGTGTGTGTTAGCTGTGAGTGTTAGCGTGTGTGTTATTATGTGTGTTAGCTGTGAGTGTTAGCGATGTGTGTTAGCGTGTGTGTTAGCTGTGAGTGTTAGCGTGTGTGTTATTATGTGTGTTAGCTGTGAGTGTTAGCGGTGTGTGTTAGTGGTGTGTATTAGCGTGTGTGTTATTCTGTGTTTTAGCAGTGTGTGTTAGCTGTGCGTGTTAGCGGTGTGTGTTAGCATATCTGTTATTCTGTGTTTTAGCAGTGTGTGTTAGTGGTGTGTGTTAGTGTGTGTTTTAGCAGTGTGTGTTAGCTGTGAGTGTTAGCGGTGTGTGTTAGCGTGTGTGTTATTCTGTGTTTTAGCAGTGTGTGTTAGTGGTGTGTGTTAGTGTGTGTTTTAGCAGTGTGTGTTAGCTGTGAGTGTTAGCAGTGAGTGTTAGTGTTGGTGTTATTCTGTGTTTTAGCAGTGTGTGTTAACGGTGCATGTTAGCGTGCGTGTCAGGTGGTCTGGTTCAGTTACGATTATAAAAGCATTATAAACCTTCAGTTTCTCACAGCGATCGTTTTAAGCTCCTGCAGAAGAATCCGGTTGTTTTTTGGCGATGCTAACCTCAGGGTTAGCTTACAGACTCCACACCTGCGTCTCTCCGTGTGTTTATGCTGCTGCAAGCCACCTTGCAGCCCACGTCTGACCCGGATCGTCCCTTCCTGCTGTTTATGACGTTCATCAGTGTCTTGCGTCAATGACATGCTCCTGCTGTCAGCAGTTTCATCACTCAATCTGACGTGCTTCCTGTTTCCTGCTCAGGGGGAGATTTCAGACTCTGGTCATGTCCAAATTCATGGGCTGCATCCTCCTGTGGACCCGGCCTTCGCGGTCTACGTGGGCCGGGTCCTCAGAAGGTCGGGTAGGCCGGAAGTAAACGGCTGGGGAAATTGGACGGTCTCGCCTTCAGATTAGCGTCACCGCTGTCTCGGTGGAGTTTAATAAACTCAGCCGTCTGCTCCTTGCTATCTAAAATATAACAGGACACTGGTGTAAATTCTCGACCGTCTCACACTTCTGTTTGATCAGTTTTCTGTTTGACGTTTAGTCAGCTGTGTGAAAACCAAGGAGGAGGGGGATTAATAAAGTTTTATTTTATCTAATCTAAGAACTTTAATCTCAGCCAAACCGATTTACTCACGAACAAACAAAACACTGAAAAAAGCCCAACAATAACATTTGTAGGTTGTCTAAGTGACTTATATATTACGTTTAACCCGAGCAGCGAAACTCCGCGGTGATCTGAAAATGATGTGCCGGGAGTTGTGCCGTTCTCGGCGGCTCTAGTGACCCTCGAGCTCCCGGCTAGCTGTCGAGCTGGTGGGTAGCAGACGCCTCTGAAAACGTCGAAGCAGTTTTGCAAATATGGGATATCTTGATAAACCGAGCAGATATTTGATGTTTACACAGCTACTTTCTTGCCTGAAAATATGTTAAAAGTTTATTTTGTGACCCAGAAAGATTAGTATGAGTAATTTTAAAACTTAGTAGCGGCCGCCATTATTGGAAACTGGAGTTTGGCTGGGCCGCGCTATGAATTCTGGGATATGGTGGGCCACGAAGGACACACCGACCCATCTTTCAAATTCGGGGAAAAGGAGGACGCATTTGTCGGCTGCATTCGGAGGAGTCTACGAATTTGGACAGCCTTCCGCGCGTCGCTGTGACGTAATCGGTGTACAAATGCGGCCTCAGGAGGATGCAGCCCATGAATTTGGACACGACCTCTGTGTTCTTGTAGCAGAAGCACAGCGTCGGCCATCTTTGTGTTCAGGTGCCGTCATTGTGCTCTTACTCTGTTCTTCCTTCCAGCAGGTGGCGACGTCAGCCCGGTCCCTATTCGCTCCAGCAGCACCTTACCCACCCCCCAGCCCGGCAGCGCCCCCTCCACGCCCACAAACACCTCCAACAAGACCTCGTGCACGTCCACCGCCAATGCCGGGGAGGAGGAGCAGGAGCGAGGGGACCTCATCCACTTCTACAACAACGTGTATATCAAGCAGATGACGCCCTTTGCTCTGAAATACTCGCCAAACTCGCTGTCTGCAGGGGTACGTGGACTGAGCTGGGAGCCATTTAGCTGATCAATAACATTATTGATTATTAATGCAGCAGCTTAGTGTCTGTGAAGCTGATGATGAGACTTCTGGACCAAACATTTAAACTTGACTCATTTTAAATCCAAGATGTTTAAATATCAATAAATGTCATTAAAAAGGCTCCAGCAGCACAAACACAGCCCAGGCGGAGGCTGACGGAGGCTGACGGAGGCTGACGGTTGGGCGTGACAGCATCGTTCTCCTGACCTCTTTGTTTTTCTCATGCTCAGGTCGAGACCCCCCCTCTGTGTCCGTACCCTTCCGTGAGGACCGGCTCTCCCCGCCGGATGCTTCTGTCCAGCAAACACTCCATCTACATCTCGCCTCACAAGGCAGGCTCCGCCCCCTCACTGATGACCCCCAGGGAAAAGATTCACTACTACATCTGCAGCAGCCCCCCCAACGTAAGCCCCCACACGAGTCACTGCTCACGTTCACAGCAGCTATTTTATCCGTAACGACGTGTTGACGCCACGCTGTTTCTTCTCGTACGGAAACCAAACTGTTGCTTTCCTCGTGTGTCTGAAACGTTCTCATGATTTTAAAACCTTCAGTGGTCGATTTACACTCGGCTTCTCCCGCCGGCGCCGGCGCACGGCAGCGGCGGTTAGAAAAACGAGCGAGAGTCTGTCGTACCTCTGCGGTGTACCTGGGCTTCGTGATGCAGGCAGAGGTTAGAGGTCCGTTTATAACTTCACATGATGTTCAAACAGTTTATTATACAGGATACAGTTTGGCTTTTCAAAATAAAGTGTTCCTCTGATGTTTTCTGGAGAAACTGAGCGTAAAACCAGCTTCCTGTCCCAACAACGGTCGTCTCGAGATGCTTCATCCTCTAACTTTATTTAAACAGGTCCATGTGAACGCGGACACAGGTTAGCTGTAGCTCATCAATATTCAAGTGTTATTATTTAACATCTTTAAACAGGAAGTCAGATTATGGAGGGATTCCTGAAAGTACGATAAAATGGTCCCCCCTGCAGGACGCCGTCATCACCCTGAAACAGTTTAACAAACGAGCTCCGAGATCAAAGAGTCAGGAGTCTGAGCATGTGCAGCTCAGCCCGACAGAGCTTTGAACACTAATCTGTGACCTCTGACCCTTCAGCGTCTCCAGGAGATCAACAGCATGATCCGCACCGGAGAGACTCCGACCAGGAAGCGTGGCATGGCTCTGGAGGAGGGAGCCTCGCCCAAACGCGTCTGTCCCGACTCCAACGCTCTAATGCGCCGCCTGCAGGACGTCGCCAACGACCGCAGCTCCTCCCAGTGACGCACGCAGACACAGACGGAGTGTTTTACTGTGAAGGAGCAGCTTCCTGTGTTTTAGTCGTATTTTCCTTTCTGTTTTTAACATCAATGTTTTAAATCTGTCGGTTTGGTCTTAAACTTCGTGGCGTGCGTGTTTCGTCTCCTTCGCTGTCCCATGTCTGTAAATACGTGTACAGAAGAGCAAAGAGAAGCTATTTAATGGAGCTCACAGCTGTAAGTTAAGTGCCTTTATTTTGTACTGTTTACATCCTGCAGGCGTTTCCTTGGTTACAGGCTCCTGATGTAAAAACAATAAACTGTGTGAACTGAGCCGGCTCCCTCTGTCTATGTGAGCTGCAATAAAACTAAGTGTGGAAAAGAAACCAGCAGCTGAGAGTAGGACGATGGGTGGAGACGCTGTTAGTGACATCAGAGAGGGGGCGTGGCTACAAAATGTTCAACATAACTCTGTGTTAGCTCGATCAACAGGAGTCCAGTCGGGGGTCTGAGCGTGCTCGTCAGACATTTTAAACCATCGCTGCAATCATCACGTGGAAGTTACCAGAATCTGAGAGATGAAACGCCTCTGCTCCAGTTCTCACTCAAACGGGGGACGCCGCTGACGTCTTCTGGCTTCACTTTATACCTGTTCACGTCGTCTCCGACTGAGGACCCCAGTTTACCTCCCACAGTGAAAGAGTTCTGTGCTTAGGTTAGTCTCACCTGGCTTCAATCCCAGACCAATGGGCAAGCAGAGACTCAACGGACCAGTTGTGACCTCCTCAGCATCTGGACCATTCAAATCCTGACTTTGTCTTCAACCTGCTTGGTCTGTAGAAGGCGAGCTGCCTGTTCCAGCAGTATGACATCATCTATGCTGGTGACAAAAAGTTGTGTACTGACAGACGACGGCGCTAAAAATGTTTTTAAAAACGTAAACTTTAATCGCTTATTTGTCAAATCCAGCTTCACAGCCAGAGTTACATCTGAGAGCAGCGCTCCACGATGGAAACACAACTGAAACTCTAAACACACACACAGGGATCACCAAAATAAAACAGGAAATAACAACACGAAGACAAGAGAAAAAGAGAACTAATAAATGCGGGATCGTCAATAAGATTTTAATAAGAAAATAATTCTTGGGGGGAAAAAGTTTCAAGATAAAATATAACGAGTATAATGATTAAAGAAAGTTAAAGTGTTCACGTGATCAGAAACAGCCACTCTGACACAGCGTCACTGAACACCTCTCACCAGCAGGGGGCAGCAGACCAAAGGGTCGAACTACATCTCTGCTCCAAAGTTCGAGTTACTGTAGACCAGGAGTCGGCAACCTTTCTGATGATGAGTGCATCTAAAGTTTCCTCAGACGTCAGTGTGCTGTATGACTGCATTAGCAATAAATCTAATAACGCTCTATATGAACAGTTACACACTGTATAGAACAACTTTATAGGATTATATTTGTTCACAGATGTTGGCAGCTGTCAGCGAATAGTTTTCAGCTATTTTGAAACAAAGAAAAAGACTTTTTATCCATAACAGCAAATGGACTGAACAACAGAAAATACAAATGCTATTTATGGTCTCCTCACGACAATGATAAGAAAAATAAACTGGGCCAATTTGGCATGTTTGTTAATACAGAGACACACATGTTAATGTGATCTCTGGTCTCCCAGTCAGACACACAGGTCTCCCAGTGTCCAGCATTCAGAGGCTACCTGAGGACTCATGTGAGAGAAAACCTGCTCACACAGACATGTAGAGCCAAATACTGTCAATAAGGCCTCTGCAACGTTCTGAAGACAGTTAAACTTGTCAGGTAGTGACGTCCAGCAGGTGAACATGCAGCTCCATGAACACGCACAGCTGTGGATTCCAGCTGCTTCGATGTCGCATTAACTGGTATTAACTCAGCCAGTTAATGCGAGACAAACCAGCTGCTCATTAAAGCTTCCGAGACTTCCGAGTCTTCGGATGTATCCGTGTATCTCCGTGGTGCTGATGCTGCGCTGAGCAGACAGCTGCTGAAGCTGCTGTCTGAAGCTTTTGAAGTGTCTGAATGTGGAAATTTCAACATCGCTTGATAAAACTGCCAGCTAGCAAGTTATTTTTAGCCAACTACAAGTTGAACCTGGTAGTTGGGTCGTTAGTTAAGATACCGTCATTAAGAAGCGGCACAACTAATGTGTCTATGCGAGCTGATTTGCGATGTGCACCGCTGGCCCGGCCATTTATTTGTTAATGCACCGTCTCAGATTAACTCACTGCGTGTTGTGCCCAGGGCTGGACTGGGACAAAAAAATCGGCCTTTTGACGAGAGACCGGCCCCCCAGGTATTAAAGCCATGAAGCCTTTGAATGAAAACAAACGCTGTTGTGACAGTGATGTTCAGTCTTGTTGGTATATGTATGATTTCTATACATTTTATGTCAGATAAAAACGTTTGTTGTAAGCTTCAGATAATTATTTAATAAAAGCGAGACATTTTAAATGAGAATAAGAAAGAAAAGTATTTCTTTGTGCCCCCCTCTCCCTGTTAATGCCCTACATGCCCCCCTGGCAGCACTTTGCTAGACCCGCCCCTGCACAGTTACCAGCTGTCAACTACTTAGAAAAGGATCCTGGTGTTATTTATCTCTCAGAAACAGTTCATAACTTCAACTCATTCATGTCACCTAAAAGGTAAACCTGTTTCTCCATCACCTGTTCAGCTCTGATGATTCAGTAAGGACATCTCCTGGTTTCATCTTCATGTTTCCCTCTCACCAGATAACCAAACCATATCATGACCAGCAGGTTTACGGCTGTGGCTCCAGCAAACATCAGCTGATACTAGAAATTAATATTAAATAAATTCTAACAACAGCTGATCAAGCTTAAACGTGCTGCTGTTGTTTAGCGCGACATCTGCTGGTTTCCTCTTTCTGGCGCAAAGTGGGCGATAAATAAACAAGAGAGACGATCAGCTGATCATTGATCAGTTTCATGATTGAAGTAGAAACAGGAGAGGGAGGGGGGAGAATGAGAGAAGAAGAGGCAGCTGTGCAGCAAAGACACAGAATAACTGCAGCTTTGTGCCTTTTTCATTGTAGCTGAAGTCCGGGACAAACTGTTCCTTTTCACCTCAATAAGAAACGTAATAATTTCTCTGAATACCAGACGATTCTGTTTTTTACAGGACGGTATGTCCACATATGTCAGGATAGATGGAGCCCTGGCTGAGATTATTCAGGTTTGTGTATTTAAAACATGTAAAAAAGAATCAGTTCATGGTAATAAAATGTTGATAAAAGGATTGAAAATCATCTGCTTAGATAAATAAAAAGGATTTCATGTTCAGTTATTATGCAGGACAATTTGGTTAATCTCAGCGACATGTAGAAAACTCTACAGGTGGTTTTAAAGAGGAAACCATGGCTGCATTCAAATCAAATTCAAAATTCAAATTTTATTTGTCACGTACACAGTCATACACAGTACGATATGTAGTGAAATGCTTGGACAACTGCTCGTGACCTAAAGAAAACAAAAAAGGAAAAGGCTATGAATAAGATAAGAAATAAATATGAAAAATTAAAACGGGTAAATTTAACTAGGAAGGAATAAAATATAAATTAAGGTTAAAAATGAAATAACTGTACAACACAAATTAGAATGAAGGGTAAATTTAACTGGGAGAATAAGATAAAATATATAAATTAAAGTTGAAAATGAAATAACTGTACAACAAAATACACAATATAGAACTATATAAGAATGTATGAAGAAATATAAATAAATATATACACAATAACAGCAGCGTGATTTAAGTAATGAAGTGAAAACAAAGTCCAGAAAGTCCAGTGTGTGTGTAAGAACTGTATGTGTGGGTCAGTACTGTGTGGTGGTGTGATTGAGAGACCGTATCGCCTGCGGGAAGAAGCTCCTCCTCAGTCTCTCTGTGTTGGTCTTCAGGGAGCGGAATCGCTTTCCTGACCTCAGCAGAGAGAACAGTCTGTTGTTGGGATGGCTGAGGTCCTTCACGTTCTCCTGGTTCCTCATTCATCTGCCCGCCTCTCGGTCCCGCTCATCGGTTCTTGCTCTCACTACGATGTGTCGGGGGAAAGTGGGCATTACTTTTATTTTTATTGCACATAAATGTGATGGTGCAGTGGAGCCTGCTCCAGGACAAAAACAACTGCATCATGTTGCAACACAGCTTCAGCTCTTTGCAAGCACCGGCACAGGTAGCATGCTAACGCTAAGCTAAGAGGGGAAATCCCTCCAACCTGCACAAACATGTGACCCACAGCATGCGTAGAGATGCTGGAGACTCTTACAGTGGAGCCAATGACAATCAATAAGGAAGTTATGTCGATAATGGGATCCAATCACTTATCAGTGCCCATCCCTGGTGACTGCAGAGTGCTAACTGCTCAGCTGTGACCGCCTTGGCCACTTTAATGAGAACTGTTTTAACTTTTAAGGAAAAGGTTTTGTTTATAAAAGAAAGAACAGCTGGAGCTTCAGAGACCCTTTTACTCCCCAGATAAATGCCTGTTGAGAGGACAGTTTTGTGTCAGATCCAGCTGTGGGGGTCATTGTTAATCTTATCAGAAGCCACTGGTTACACATCGCAGCACAGCGAGATCAGGTCCAGTCTTATCAGAGCTACGTGGGACCTGGGTCACACATAAGACAGGAGACTACTTTTGAAGACCATTAGAATGAAAAACAATGACACAGAAATAAAGTAACAAACTAAGTGTAAAAACAAGACTTGGTTAAAAATCCTGAGAGGCTGAATAACAAAAGTATTTATGATAACAATGTTTTTAAGTCCTCAAAAACATCATGAGGCCCTCAAACTGGAAATCAGTGAGTGTGAGGTCGACGAAGCTGAGCGACCTTTGAACTTTAGTGAAGGTGGAGGGGACCAGGATGAGCTGATGGATCAACTTTCATAAGATAGAAATAATCAACATGCATGTTTGAGCTTTTAGTTTATTTATTGGTTTCTGTTAGTTTGAATTTATCATATCGGGATTATTTGTTGAAATTACAGCAGAGACATTCAAACCCGGTGAGCAGTGAGGGACATTAGACCAACTGTAAAAATTGGATGCAGTTGTTCGCACTAAACCCAAACATTCACCATCTTCACTCATGCGGCCATCCCACTGGTGCTGAAGGCTGCCGAGGTCGAAGCTGACTGCAACAACCAGATTCTCCATGATAAGGGTTAAGGTAGGGTTAGGACTGTTGTCAGGACTCTTTGTCCCTCCTTCAAGGCCACCTGGGTCCACTGGAGACTGCTGACCTTCACTTAACCAGGAATGATGACACAC